ATGACCCAAGGGTACATAGGACGAGACCTCGAACATATACCATTGGACATAAGGTGAACTCGCACCTCTCCGAACTTTCACTTTCCACATGTGAGACATGGCTACTACCTCCAACGTGTGTGCTATGCATGATCAGGTACTTAGAGGAAAGCCATGGAGCCACCACATCCAACGGACGAGTTAGCGAGGATTCCAAGTACAAGGACCAAGAGAAGAAGCTCCAGCCACCGGACGAACGATCGGGACCGGACATCCGACGCCTGAAGACCCACCGGACGACCGGCCATGACCGGACGACCGACTACACCGCACCCGAGCCAAACCAGCGGATGTCCGACGCCACCGGATGACCGGCGACCGAACGACCGGCCACCTCCAGAAATCCGGTGCCTCCTCAACCGAACCAGACCAAGCGGACGTCCGGCGACTAGCAGACGACCGGTCCCTCCTAAGCCACCGGACGACCGGTACCTGCCTGTGCGCAGCCGGGCCTTTGGCCTTGTATCCCTCTCCCACTTACCCCTTCGTGGCTCTAGACTATATATACTCCTCCACCTCCTCCATTTGAGGGTTAGCATTGGTTTAGATCATATTTAGAGATAGAGCATTGCTCATCCACATCGGATCTACTCCACGAGAGAGACCGCGGCCTCTATGGAGAAGATCCCTTTGGATTCAAGACCTCCTTGCGGAGAAGAACATCACGACCTCCTCACGGAGAAGACTGGTTACCTCTTGTATCGTCCATTGTTGACTTTGGATCGTGTATCTTCCTTTGTGTTCACGGATCTAGCGCATGTGTGATCATATTTGTTGGTTTCTCGTGTTCCTCTCGTGTCTTTCCCCTCGTTTCCATCCTCGTGTTCTTCATGTTCATCGCGGGATCCGCTCCTTTCATGAAAGATCGGGCGATTAGGGTTCTACCCTACATCAAATCCATGGCCATTTCGCTTGGAAGGGCTCAAACCCTGAAATTGCCTTACACCAAATGGTCACAAAGCAGACAAGAATGGTCGACGACCTTATTTCAACCTAATTACGACCAATATAAATGGTCATGAGGTTGTGAACGTGGATGCATTGGTACTTAAGGTGTCGCTCAAGGTGGGCTTGGGCCTCGGTGGAACGAGGCAACCTCGTTTAAAAAAATCCGTGTGCCATGTAGTCCTCGACCCATCCAGGAAGAAATGTGGGATGCCCTCATATTACTCAAAAAAAAATTCAGCCCAACGAAAATGGGAAAATAACAAGTTTTTCATTATTACCATTTGGTAAGGATGGTCAGTTATCTGAAAAAAAGTTTTCATTATTGTCAAAAAATAGGTTTTTCATTGTATAACTCTAAAAAGGTTTTTCCTTATAAAAAATCTCAAAACCAATTGAACAATATAAAATTATAAGAATAGGAAAATAATGAACTCCTTCGTGAATCTTGCTATATGGTTTAGCAATTAGAAAACTAAACGTGTAATTCAAAAAAATGTTAATGTTGATATGCATTTCGAAAAATGTAATCATGTCTTTAAAAAACTAAATGTGTGTATTTGAAAAGTTTCATGCATATAAAAAATGATAATCATAAATAATATTAGATATGTATTAAAAAGTTTCATGCATGTGTATGCAAAAATAGTCATTAGTACGTGTATATGGAAATTTTACAATATATAAATATATATATATATATATATATATATATATGGAAAAGTAGATAACAAAACAAGATTTTCTAAAAATGTTAATCATGTATTTAAATTTTTATGACCAATATCAACAATGACTAATATGTATACAAAAATGTACAATGTGTAAAAACAAATATAGACATCAAAACGTATGCATGGAAAGATGTCTTTTTGTTGGGAATGTATGAAACTATGTTAATCATGTATTTTAAAAAAGTTAAACATATATAAACAATATGTACAATGTGTCTTAAAAATGTAAACATGTGTTCAAAATATTAGACATCAAAATATTTATTAAAAATGTTAATGATGTAACTAAAAACGTTTAATATCTATAAAAAATGTTTCTAGTGTACACAAATTTGTTCATAAAATGTGATCTAATATTCTTGAAAAATGGAGAATTCTTTTTTACAACAAATATTTTTTAGGTTCTTCACAAAAAAACTCGTTTTTGGGAACTCAAAAAATGGAAAATGAATATGCAGAAATTTGTCTTTTTCACGAGAGGTGGATCAAAAACTTTTTACACTCAACCATTTGGTCAATTGTACATTAAATATGGCCTAGTATTTTAGAAATTTGATTTGGTCCAATTTTACAACAAATCTCTCGTACGTTCTTCACAAAAAAAACCCCCTCAATTTGGGCACTAAAATGGAAAATTGATTTTTTGTCCAAATAAAATAAAAACTCCCTTAGGAAACATTGTTCGTCATTGCAAGATGCACCCTTGTGCACTATATGAGATCATTTAAACAAACTATGCCATGAATTTTTCATGCCTGTTTAAAAATGCGGTCAAAACGGCGGGCATGACCGTTCCTTGCTAGTGGTTGAATCTTGGAAAACTTTTGATGTTTCCATGATTAAATAGATACTTATGTACCTAGAAATGATTTTTGAAAAAAATAAAGAGAAAACTACGAGGTAGCTGCAGTTCAAATTTGACCCACTTCTAACTAAATTGGCGGAAATTTGTCTTTTTCATGAGAGGTGGATTGAAACTTTTGACACCCAACCATTTGGTCAATTGTGCTTTAAATATGTCCTAGTATTTTGGAAAATTAATTTGGTACAATTTTGCAACAAATATATGGTAGGTCCTTTACAAAACAACTCAATTTGGGCACTCGAAAAATGAAACTTCCGTCCAATGAAAACGAAAACTTTCTTAAGCAACATTGTTTGCCACTCCAAGATGCCCCCTTGATGAGGACATGACTACCTTGGATAGGACCAAAAATATTGCATACATGCATATTTGTCAGGTGATTTCTAATGCAAACTATCCAATAATCTATTTATGTTATCCAGAACAAAAATACTTCACACACTTTTGTGTTTTGTCTAATTGCAGGTGTATGGGACATTCGTACAATCCACATATGAAGCTAAGGGAAAAGGAGAAGTTTAGGTTGTGTTTAAAAAGTCCTCTCGCGTCACTTTTGGGCCAAGAGAAGATAGAGTCCAAGTCTCTCACGTTCTGGATTCAGATTCAGACTGCATAGACATACCTGACTCAAAACGCCAACAACTTTTTCATACGGACTCCGAATTGGGTAATTCTTTTTTTGTTGGAAACTAGATTTCATGCTCTTTCCAACCCAATTGGATTCACCTTCAAATTCGTCCGGAGCGTTGAGTTACGGACGAAACAATCTGATGTTGCAGCAGAATCCGGGTCAAACTACAAGCCCAAAGGTGTTGCATCACCTCCACTTGGGCCCATGAGCCTTGTACGACCTAGGATTAGTTTTAGGCTGCCTTGGGACGTCCTCCCACCTCCTTGGCCGCCACCCCTTGCTCCTATATAATTAGATCCATCTAGTAGCTTTTTCCTGGGGATTTGTTTAGTTAAAAGTTAGCCATTGCAACTTCGTGTACTTCGTTTGTGTCCAACGACCAGACCAAGACCGCTTACGGATCCCCACCATTATCAATACTTCATATATATTTGCAATATTCAGATTGCTTTATCATATTCTTGCTCGTTCTTCGATTGCTTGCAGGAATAGACCTTCGTGGTCAGGCTGACCGTGCTTCCGGCATCGTCAGTAACCTCAGGAGATTGGTTTAGCGATTGCTAAGGCGCAACGTCGTGCACGTTTGTAGTCGGATCGTCAAAGTCGTCTCCACCAAATTGATAGTTATTATCTCATTAAAAGATCGGGACACCCTCGCCTCTATCACCCCTTGTGCACAATATGAGATCATTTGAACAAACTATGCCATGAATATGGCCATAAGATTAATCATTTGGCTTGAAAGCCATGAATCTTCACACATGATAGCTCATTTCTGAGAACACTTTTTTTAAATAATTACTTATTACAAGTTTATTATTTTTCCTGGTAACTTGGTCACATATAATGACATAATGCGAATGTTTTCGATTTTTTTGATTTTTTTTTGAATTTTTCATACCCGTTTCAAAATGCGGTCAAAACGGCGGGCAGGACCGTTCCTAGCTACTGGTTAAATCTTGCAAAACTTTTGGTATTTCTATGATTAAATATATACTTATGTACCTAAAAATGATTTTTGGAAAAAATAAAGAGCAAACTATGAGGCATCCGTAGTTCAAACTTGACCCGCTTCCTCCTAAATTGACGGAAAGTTGTCTTTTTCACGAGAGGTGGATTAGAACTTTTGGCACCCATCCATTCTGTCAATTGCGCATTAAATATGGCCTAATATTTTAGAAAATTTATTTGGTCCAATTTTGCAACAAATATATGGCAGGTCCTTAAAAAACTCACTTTGGGCACTCGAAAAATGGAAAATGAAATTTCCGTGCAAAGAAAATAAAAATTTCCTTAGGCAACATTATTTGTCACTCCAATATGCTTGTGCAAAATATGATGTCATTTGAACGAATTATGCCATGAATGCTGCCATAACGTTGGGCATTTGACTTTAGTACCTACTAATGTGAAAAAAGTAGATGAAAAACAAAAATGAAAAAACAATTGGTTATGCTTTATTTGCATTAGTGGGACTAGCTCTGACCGGGGTCGATGACATGGCGGACATCCATCCATTCCCTTCCCACCATCTATACATACCCTGCCATCGTCTCCCACCCACCTCGAATCCTTTCCTCCCCTCTCCCTCCTGCATCGCGCCGCCATCCACCTTGTCTCCCCGATCCAGATGGAGATCCAAAGCCCTAGGCTGCTCTCCCCGCTCCGCCTTCGTGTCCATGGCAACGGATGCCTCCCCCCTCCGACGCGCAAGAGCCCGGGGCCTGAGCCGGCGGCGGACCCCCCTGAAGACGACGCCCCGCCACTGTCGGCGAGGTACATGTTCATGTGGAGAGGCGTGACCAGGCCCGAGTGCTTCAGGTACAGGGTGTTGGGCCTGCCGCAGGGGAAGCTAGACGCCGTCTCCTTGATCAGGCGCAGCGCTGCGCTCTTCCTCTATGACTTCCACGCCAAGTACCTCTACGGGCCCTACCACGCCAAGATGGTGCGCGCACTGCTGGCGAGGCTCGGCGTGGACGATCGCCGAGAGGGGCTATGCAGGACGCCCAAGCGCGTCGCCAAGGCCTTCCGCGATGGCACCCAGGGTATAACCCGTGGATCCATTCCCTTCGTAATTGCGCATGTTCACGTTCGTTCCCTGGACTTAGCTCCCCTGCGTTGTCTAGAGTCGCGAAGCACCAAAGCGATGCCGTTTGTGAAATGTCAATACTTGCGTAATCTGACTAGAACTAGATTTTGGTGGTTCTCTTTTGGTAGGACTTTTTAGATGTATTCTTTCTTTTGTAGCAAGTTGGTGGTATGTTAGTACTCGGTAGTATGTCTCTTGATATAGTTGGCTCTTGTAGATTGTGCTGCTAGTCCAGATACTGGAATCTTAGGTGCTAGGTTGACTTGCTGGTTATGGGTGACTGCTATTTTTAGGATTTGGGAATCATTAGTGGGATCAGACGGCACATTGCTATTGCCAAAAATAGTGTGATGTCGTTTCGCTTGTATGCCATACTCTCTCACCAAGTCTTGGTATATCACTACTGTAGGATGCTACTAACGCGACACTACGATTAGAGACCCTTCGACGAAACTGTGTGCGATGCAATAATCGCAAATGGTGGTTAAAAAACTATCAAAAAGGTGCAAAATGTTTGCGATGGAGGATGCATCAAACACGCTTTAGATTTTAGTTGCGTGTGCGATGCAGGACACACGGTTCAGTTCAATTAACTGTTTGCGATGAGGAGGAACAAAAGAAACGGGCAGCTAGATGAAGGTGTGTGTGATATAGAGCATACGGTTCACTCGGATGAACTGTTTGTAATTAGGCAACACAAAAGAAACGGCCAGCCAGATCAAGGTGTGTGCGATATACGGCATGCGGTTCACTCGGATGAACTGTTTGCGTTGAGACAAGAGAACATAAATGGTTCAATATATCAAGATGTGTGTGATACGCGGCAAATAGGTCTATAATCAGAAATGTGTGCGTAGACCGATAGTAACATAGACGATTGCTTCTAATAAGACATATGCGATATGCTCTATATACACAACATCTATTGGCCATTGGGGGACAGGTGGTCATCCGGATACGCCATAAGGATGCGAAGAGGCATCCTATATCAGCAAGGACTAGTTGTTCCACCATTAGCTCATGTAAGAGAACTCTCAAGTTAAGTGTGCTCAGGATGGAGCAGCCATCAGATGGGTGACTGGATGGGAAGTTGTGTTGATGTTAAATTAACTGGTAGGATGGGTCATATCTGTCAAATTAAATGACTGATATGACCCATCCCATGAGTTAATTTAACCTCCAGGTCCTTGTTTTTTGTTTTGTTTTTAACACATGTTAAAGAAGGTCTACCGCATTACTTTTTGACAATATGCGATACATGGCATACAGTTGATCCATCCGACCTGTTTGTGATGGAATAAGTCGTGTGTGTTGTGGGCAAATGCTTACTAGTATTCAACCGTTTGCGATTGATGAATTCATCACCGACGGGTTCCCTAGTGTGGTCCGTGTTCATCTGATCATCATCTACTTCTTGTGCTAGCTCGATGTTCCTTCTATGCCAAGTTTCCATTTATTGATGGCGCTTTATCAACACGCCACCGTTTCCCGCCATTTCCTCACCTGTTTCCCAGCACCCAGCGATATTGCGCATAAACCTAGGCGGCGCTCGACACACAGAGGTGACAAGAGTAGCCTGTAGCACATCCAACTTTTCCAAGCATGCCAACCGACCAAAGTGCCGCCTCTGCCATCAACCTCGTCGACGAGGCAAACGAGCAGGTGCCACGGCCCATCGAGGCCGAGGCGCTCCCCGGCAACGCGATGGATGACGCGTGATGCACGCCATCGCCAGGGTTGAGCAGACCCTTAGCGCATGGCGCTTGAGCGACGCGGATCAAGATAGGCATGTCAGCGCCGCTGCAGCTCGCCGCACAACATGATCGATGGCACGCCACAGAGCAAGCTAGGCGCGTCCGCGCTGATAGGCCGTGGCTCGCCGCACGGTGAGACATTGAGTGCTGTAGAGCGAGAGGCGTGGTGCACCGCACAGCAAGAGCGGATCCATCGGCGCTTGCCTGCTGTCGACACGACGTCATAGCTGGGTACACGTCCCGTCAATACCCCCATTCCTCGCCAGGAGTGGGCAGAGGCCCTCAGCGTCGTACTTGCACTAGAGGCCGGCCGCGCCGTACTTGCACCGGGCGCCCGCCACGCCATTCGCATGGGTGGCGCCGTTCGCCTTGTTCGTGGCCCGCTGGATGCCAATGCGCTGGTCCGTAGGCTCGACCGCCTCCTTGGCCCAGGTGTCCACTTGGGCACAGTAGAGGAACATGGCCATCACATCCTCGAGCTGGTCATCTCCAATGAAATAGCCAACTTGGAGCTCGAGATCACGCTCCAGATGTACCGCGAGTGTGTCGACCGCTTGGATGAACGCCTACATGAGTTCAGGCAGAGCCAAGAGCTACCATAGGCAAGGGCTACTGGTCATGGTCTCATGGACGCGTTCTATTTTGTTGAGTTGTTTCGACGTGGATAGCTATGTATTCACAGTAATCATAGTATTGCTCTGTTTATTCCTCTATTTCAATGTGTGTACTCTGATTTCCGTTCTTATATGTATTGTTTCTATATGTGTATATATGCTTTCCATTCTGTATATGTGGACGATAACAGCTAGATTCAAATTAGTATACAAAAACAGATAGAAAATGGAATTCATAATATATATATATATATATATATTAATTGTTCATTAGTTCATCACAGAATATATATATAGTATATCATCACATATACGTGATGATACTTAACTACTAGGTACAATGCATAAAATTGAAAACGAACAATACTAAAACTAATAATCCCTCCGCGGGCCAGTATTTTGACAGCCCCTCGCCAGCAGCTCCCTGGTGCGTGGCGTCTTCCCAGTACGGAGGCAGTACTCCGCCTCCTCCGCCTTGCAGCGCTTGACGTACAGATCTGCCTCTTGCTGGCGGACGCGTGCGAATGATCTTGCCATTTCGTTGGGCGCCCACCGGAGCTCCTTGTTGGTGGCACGCTGGAGCTTATCGGCCCACCTCCATGCAACGACGAGGCACCCAGCGCCTATGACCTTCCACGCGAAGTACCCATCTTCGTACACCTCCTCGACACGATGACGTCCCGCCCCAAAGCTCTGCTGCCTCCTTTTTCCAGGCGGCATCACAGGCTTCACAGGCCGCCTGGTACCTGACATCCTCCTCCGCCATCTCCTTCTTGAAGGCCACTTGCCTGGCTTTCTCAGCCGGCGGCAACGAATTCCACAAACAAAGATTGTACTGGCCCCAAAACCAATCCAAAGTTGGGGGTCCGACGCAACCTCATCCGGTGGCGCATAGGGGTCATCATCGCTGCTATTCGAGTGAGCATCCTCAGGGGGCAGCGACTCCTCGTCGGCGCGTGGGCAGACCGGAGGCGCCATGGCAGATATCTCGGAGAGAGAAAGAGAGAGAGAGGGCGAGCGAGGGGAGTATGTAGATGAGAATGCAGGCGGGACGACGTGAGCAAGGTAGTATTTATTGGCGGCCGGAATCTAGATCGACGGGGATAGTACACACGCCGGTCGCCGGAATTTACGAGTACTGTAGTTTGAATTACACACGATTCCCGTAGCAAAATCTGTGTGTGAACATAATAGCCAAAATCCATGTGTGAACATAATAGCTGATGGTTTCGAATGCAGAACTGTCTCTGATTAATGATCCCCACCACTCACCTACCAAACCTTGAGCCGCGAGATAGAGTGCCAATTGTGTGGGGGCGGTTCTCTTGCCAGATCTTTACATTTTCTTTTTTGAACACCAGATATTTACATCATCTGATGATTTTTTTAACTCGCACACAAGTACACAAAATACGATTTTTCAAAACATTATGCTTAGGCTTTGCATGTAGATGTAATTCAAATTTGAATTACGGTCACTAAATGGCTAGAAAATCACTAGAATGTCTTTAAAAGGTCAAATGACCCTTGAAATTTCAAAAATTTCACATGATAGTTGTATTAGTGCACGTTAAACATAGAAAAACAATTGAAGGCCGTAAGAGGAAGCTATCTCCCATTTGTCATCAAACATGCATTGTTCCCTCTCGGAACCACGAACCTTCTAGTGAGTTGCTCCGGTTTGTGAGGGGTGTGTGTCCAAACTTTCGTCAAACAGGCCAATTCTTTTACCACATCATCTTGGTGGCATGACATTACATCAAACAAGGTTTCAGGTTTCTGATTATTTTTTCATTTTTTGGAATTAAAATGCCATGGCACTCCATGCATGTGCCCATGCCGTGAGACCAATATGTTTGAAAATTCCTTCTAATTTACTGCACATGGAATTAACTCGCACACATGTACACAACTATTATTTTTCAAACCATTTTGTTTAGGCGTTGCATGTAAATGTAGTTCAAATTTGAATTGCGGTCATTAAATGGCTAGAAAATCACTTAAATGTCTTTAAAAGGTAAAATGACCCCTAGAATTTTCGAAAATTTCACATTACACTTGTAGTGGTGCACGTTAGACGTAGAAAAAAATTGAAGGCTGCAAGAGGAAGCTATCTCCCGTTCGTCATAAAAATGCATTGGTCACTCTCGGAACCACGAGCCTTCCAGTGAGTTGCTCCGATTTGTGAGGGGTGTGTGTCCAAACTTTCGTCAAACAGGCCAATTATTTTTACCACATCATCTTGGTGGCATGACATTACATCAACCAAGGTTTCATGTGTTCCTGATATTTTTTTAATTTTTTGGAATTAAAATGCCATGTCACTCCATGCATCATATGCATGTGTCCATGTCATGAGACAAATATGTTTGAAAATTCCTTCTAATTTACTGCACATGGAATTAACTCGCACACAAGTACACAAATATGATTTTTCAAACCGTTTTGGTTAGGCGTTGCATGTATATGTAGTTCAAATTTGAATTATGGTCATTAAATGGATAGAAAATCACTTAAATGTCTTTAAAAGGTCAAATGACCCCTAGAATTTTCCAAAATTTCACATTACAGTTGTAGTAGTGCATGTTAGACGTAGAAAAAAAATTGAAGGCCGTAAGAGGAAGCTATCTCCCGTTCGTCATCAAACATACACTGTTCCCTCCAGGAACTACGAGCCTTCTAGTGAGTTGCTCCGGTTTGTGAGGAGTGTGTGTCCAAACTTTCGTCAAACATGCCAATTTTTTACTACATCCTCTTGGTGGCATGACAT